GGGGATCATTTATTTTATCACTATGATTCCAAAGACAACCAATATAACACTAACATGAAAAATTGAAATAAACATACTACATGGAGACCATGATGTTGAAAGAAATGAGAATAATGACGACAAGGAATGCACAAAAAGTAGGTACAAACTTGATATTTCAACACAAATGTAGCAATTTTCACAAAGGTCTTTTGATTAAATTCATCCAACATTTTTTATATAGTAATACCAACAAGAAAGAGAAGAGTCAAAATAGTCTTCCTGTCTAAGCTGTAGCTTAGCTCTTTAATTTTTGCCATTTCTGCTACTAGTCCAATCCAAAATATAGAGTCGAGCAAAAAACAATGCTTAGAAATCTACTCTTAGTGCAATGGTTAAAAAAAACACCTGGCAAATCCAGCCGACCATGCTAGGGAAGTTTCCTGTGACTCAGCATCATGTTCTAGTCCTCTTCTTCTTTAGCTCTCTGTCACCTCTTCAATGTCGCAAGCGGTTCAACAATGTCATCGTAAGGTCACAGGTTTTCAGATGCAGAGAAGAAACTCTCATTTGAAGAATCGGAGTCATTTTCAAAGCAGTTTGCTTCGTTTTCACTCTCCATTTTATCGTAGCTTTCTTATAAAAACATCGAATCAAGAAGTCACGTGTTAAGTCAGTGACGTCACTGACCTTCTCCTCAAGAGATACCGCAGTCTTTAGTATTTGGGGCTCAGATATCAAACCGATTAATGGAGGACGGGATTTTTACTACTTTCGAAGCTCGATTTCTCATATTCTTTTGACTTCAGAGTACTGGATTATGCACTTTAACTAATTCGATTACATGTAGATTTTCTTTTGTTAGATTTTCTTTTGTTAGATAATATATCGTTTTCTTTTCTACCATTTGTAAACCACTGACCTGTCCRGATTAGTTTTTACTATTTACAGGTCAGTGGTGTATATATTAACTGTAATCTTAAATTTTGTTATTCAACTTGACTTCACATGACTAGGGATATTTACAGAGATGTTAGCATCGGAAGATAGACTTGAACAGAAAAACCAAATCTAAGTATTCAAACCAATAGTACAGAGGTAAAAGTCCTAATCTAAGTAGTCTCGATTTGTAACAAATCTCAGTCCTTAATGGTAAAGATAGAATCATGTTGGTGGGACGGCGCTGGATTCTTTCTAGGCTGAGAAGTWGGAGAACAGACTGCGGGCTCCATACTTGCGAACAGTATGCAAGAGMACTACGTAGCAAGGCAGAGRATAGTGATTTCCGAGCTACATGGTATTGTATGTTAAAAGTACAATGTTTTATAAAACCAAGCATTCTGTTTSCCTTGACAAATTGCAGATGCTGTTCCATTTCAGGGTAGTGGTGARAAACACCCTGAGGTCCTTCGATATCAGCATGCTTATATACGCTTATACGTAGTTTTGYCAGGGTTTTTGTTCCTTGTAATACACTGAATTTTACATTTTGACTTGWTTAGAACCATGSYCCATTTAGTACACCAGTCYCAGATACGATTGAGGTCGCATTGCAGTAGAGTGCTGTCATCAGGATGATAGCATTTTGTATTATCAGCAAACAAGGCCACTGATGTCAAGGTTGCTACATTTGGCATATCGATAACAAACACAAGTTTTGCATGGCTGCTAATATGAAGAAGAAGGTTCAAAAGGAGATGGCCTGGTTGAACGATCCCAGTGCCAAGGAAATTCTGGAGGTGTTGTTATCGCTTCATCCCATCAGCACAGTTAATGCCTGGGTCAGAGCTTACAAAATACCCAAAAATGATTTTAAAAAAATCCTACTTCAAAACGTCTGCATGGATTTAATCCAAACTTTGAAATAGCATGTATCYGTCTATTTCGTACCCCCCAAACAATTTCCAAGCTTTTTAAACTTTATAAAGACATTTAATTAACCAAAAAGACGCAGAAATTGACTGAAAAGTTAAAGTGCACCTAACCCCTAAAAAATGACATTTTTTTCTAAAATTAGGGAACTTTCTAAGAACTTTTGCGAAAAAATTACTCGATTTTATTCAATTCCTGATTTTTGGCAAACCTTCAAACATGCAAGAAAAGGCACTTCGAGCTCCCTGTGGTGGACAAGCAATTCTACAGTATCACGTGACTTGTGCCGTCAACCCAGTAACAGATACCGCGAAACCTGAATGTAAACTATGTCTCAGTAGTAGAGTTTTTGTAGATATTTTTTAGAAATGCCAAATCGGTGTGTTGTTTACGGTTGTAACAACACACCAAATAAACAAGAAGGTATTGCCTTACATCAAATACCGTTTTGGGGCGATGAACGCCCAGAGGCAAACAAGAGAAGAAGGCGCTGGGTGAGCTTTGTCAAACAAAAGTGGGCAAACTGGACACCTGAGCAGTATTCATCCATCTGCTCAAAACACTTCCAAAAAGAGGACTTTGCTAGACTATTCTTTCTACTCCCTGGGCAAATGAAACCCACAATTCCACGACTAAATCGGGACGAGATTGGCGTAACACCTTTCCCGACGATTCAAMCTCCCGCCAAACKCCAACCACAAAGCGCGCGAAGTCGAAGAAGGGTGAGTAGTTGAGTCGGATAAGCTGCATTTAGTAGTTAAATTACACTTTCTTTTATCGAAATCCCCATAATTTGTAATTGGGTTTTGAATTTTCAGAACCTGAAGATCATCGAATGTGAGGCGACTACTATCTCGCAATRGGCCGCTCAAGAACAMCAAGAACCGGTCGAACCGACACAACACCAAGACTTGYAAGAACRGTCCATTCTCCCTGAAGTAATAGAAAATATATTACCTGAAACGAATGAACAGGTTTGTGTAGAATTTATTAGATAAAAATAGGAAATAATTGRCGCTTGCATTTGTTTGTTTTTTCCAGCGAAAAGATTGTAGTTCAATTTGTCTSCCATTTTCAAAAGAACTGAGGTCTTTTTTATGACTTTAATTTATTTTATCWCACTGCTATTATTAATYAGATTTACATATTTTTAGTATTTTGACAAGATTTTTATCTGTTAAATGTGCTATATCTGATCATGTATGTTGAGGATATCCTACAAATTCTGTCGAACACAAGGATTGTTGACATGTAAGKTTATAACTTTATAAGCTTACATAAGAACTTATATGATTTATATGACCCTACTTGACCGTGACTATAGTCAATATTTCATTGAAAAGTAAAAAAAAATAACATAGTAATTTATAATATAAATTTCTTATTTTTTTATGTAGAATATTGGCTGTTCTAATTGTTAAGTACTCACGAAGCAAGTGAAACGACTAGAAGGGAACGTAGAAGCCTTGAGGTGTAGAATAAAAGAACGACGGAATGAAGTCAAACTCTTGAAAAGAAATCCAAAAAGTAAGTAAAACTGTTATATTTTTTTTATATTATATGCACTTGGACATTCAAAACAAAGACAAGTCAATGTTGACTGGTTGGATCCTTTTGTTTATATGAAAGGCTGCTCACATTATAATTATAAATAATTTATTCAATTTATATACAGTTATAAAGTAAAATTCTATAACGCTTCACAGTACAAAAAACTCATGATGAAAAATAAATATTAAAGATAAAATATGTATATAGATATAAGCCAAGCTAAACTATGGTTCATAAGCTTGCTTAAATAAAAATGTCTTTAGTAGTTTCTTAAAAATGTTTATATCTTTACAATTCTTCAGCTCTTTTGGCAATGAATTCCATAGTTTGGGGCCACAATATGCAAATGATCTTCCTCCCAAAGTCTCATGTTTAATGACAGGGATGACAAGATCATTGTTGCCGTCAGCTCTTGTTCTCTTCATAGGTCTCTTTGTAACAATCTCTTCTAAGTAAGAAGGTGCTGACCCATTTATTGACTTGAATGTCAACACTAAAACTTTGTAGTGGATCCGTTGGCGAATCGGAAGCCAGTGTAGTTGTTTTATGATTTCTGTGATGTGATTATGTTTCCCTCGCTCAGCAATTACTCGAGCAGACATTCTCTGAACTCTGGTTAAGTACTTCAGTGTTGCTTCAGGCAGGCCATAGAGAATTGCGTTGCAATAGTCCAGTTTGGATGTTATCATGGTATGAACCATGGCCTTGGCTGCTTTGTTATCCACACACCGTCTGATTTTGAACATGTTCTTCAGTATAAATACACATTTCTTTGCAACATTACAAACGTGATGTTTGAGACATAAGTTTGCATCAATGTCAACTCCAAGAAGTCGAATAACCTTCGAGATWTCCACTACCTCATCACCAACTTTCAAAGACTGTAGTTCTACAGGGGTACYACGAGGACCATCTAAAGCAATTATTTCTGTCTTGTCATCATTTAACTTAAGCATGTTAGTTGTCATCCATTTCTTGACATCTACAAGGAGATTTTCCATCTTTGACTTGATCGTGGGGACAGTTACCTTTGAGAAGGAAATGTACAGCTGACAATCGTCAGCATAGGCATGGAAACGAACACCATGATTACGTGCAATATCACCAAGCGGAATAAGGTACATAGTGAATAGTTTGGGCCCAAGAACTGAGCCCTGAGGGACACCACAGCATAGGTCTTTAGGATCAGAAAGGGTACCATCAATGACGACTCTTAGTTTCCTTCCCTCTATGTAAGATTGGATCCAATGKAGACATCTTCCAGTAATTCCAAAACGATGTGCTAACCTTCTAAGTAACAATGGGTGATCAATCGTATCGAAGGCAGCCGATAGATCCAAAGCAACAAGCAAAACACATTCATTTCTATCAAGTGACAGTGTTATGTCATTGTAGATTTTGCACAAAGCAGTCTCTGTAGAATGTTTGCTCGATAAGCAGACTGCATCGCTTCATCGAGATTGTTGGAACTTAAATAACTGGTCATCTGCTTAGCCACGATCTCTGTAAGCTTAGACACATAAGATAAGTTAGATATAGGTCTGTAGTTCTTTAGATCCTCCTTATCCAGGTCGGGTTTCTTTAGTATAGGTGTTGAAATGGCCTCTTTAAAACAGGATGGCACAGTGGATGTCAAAGACTGGTTGACAATATTTGTGATAATTGGTAGAAGTGATGGCAGACATTTCTTCAACAGCCATGTAGGGATGGGATCTAGGCTGCATCATTTGTTGTTGGACTTAGTGATGATTGTCTCGATCTCTTCTATGGTTACTGGAGAGAAATCTGATAACCTGCAAAACACAACAGGTGTGAGAGGCTCTGTAGTTGAAGGGGTGGCAAGTGTATTTCGTATGTTGCTAATCTTGGTCACAAAGAAATTCCCAAATCTGTTGGCAAGTTCGCGTACATCATCATGAGCAGGTAACTGAGGCTCGTTAGTGCGGTGTAGAAGTTTATTTACTACACTGAAAAGAGCTTTTTGGTCTCTTGAGTTCTCAAGTATCTTATTACTTGTTTTCTTGAGTGTGTATTTTGCTCACCATCGTCACCATGATGAGTTGCATACATATATAAAGTATGTTGTTTGTTTATGTTGTAGGTAAGTTGAAGTGCCACAAGACCACACAGACTACTCAACATGCTCCTGATGAGCAGCCAATATCAGTGACAGACGATYATGAATTGCTCATTGAAGAATTCATCACTGAGRCTGAGGACATTAACATGAGGGATGCTGACYACGATGAACCCTATACAACTAAAAGTGAAATAGAAACAACTGACACAGACGGAGGAGCAAATACAAGGTAACCATACAGAATTACAGTATGATGATAAGAAATATCTTATTCTCTGAACAGGGAATATTTGAGGCTGGAATATTTGTATGCCTTTTTTCTTATACATATTTCTCATGTTTTACTAAACACATAACAACAGTAAAGTCTAGTGGTATTTGAGTTCACATAATACCAATTTACTGTTTTCTGATGAGTAACAATMATCTTTGCCCTCATAATATTGATTTAATTCTTTTGCAGGCTGAACATGAAGGACARAACTCTAAAGACAGAGCCCAAACACATTGTGTTTCTTTCAAAATTGTTACTTTTGTTTCKATTTTGCCACATATGCAAAGATGACAATCCCTTGGTGGAGGTAAATGATGTAGGCACAGCCATTATAGTTACTACTACATGCAAGAATGCAAAATGCCCCAAGAGACATCAAACCTGGTGCAGCCAACCAACCATACCAGGCCGTGATGTTCTTGCAGGGAATTTTCTCATTTCAATGGCCATTCTTCTGGCAGGAGCATCAGTTACCAAGGTGTTTAGAGTATTCTCCCACATGGGCCTGAACACATTCTTCAAGCACCAAAGGGTAATTTATATTTTGTATACAATAAAAAACCTGTGCAATACATGTAACTATAAACATATGACATTTGAACCTGGATTTTTGTACAACATCATATAATTAAATGTACATGTTCTAATATTTTAGACAAAGCTGTTCCCAACTATCCATATATATTGGCAAAGATGCCAGTCCAAGATGTTGGAAATGGCAAAAGCTGTTAGAGGGGGAATTGTCGTCGCTGGAGATGGTCGCCATGATAGCATGGGACATTGCGCAAAGTATGGAGTATATTCCATATTTTGTTGCACTGTGCCAATGATAATGCACTTTTCTCTAGTTCAGGTAAATACATGTACATACAAATACAAATAGTAAAAAATATCTTTCTTCAAGTGTACATATACTGAGATAGTAGGTCCAAATTAAAATAATTTATTGTTGCTCATCTATAGAGAAAGCAAGCAGGAAACAGCCCTGCTATGGAATTATTGGGATTCCAACAATGTATGGACTTCTTAATTGGCTATGGACTTGTGATCACAACATTTATTTCCGATCGTCATACTGCAATCTCAAGCTACATGAAAGTGTCTCTAAAAAACATCATCCATTATTTTGATCTGTGGCACCTTAACAAAAAGTGAGTTTGTACATTTTAAGTGATTGCTGTCATGAATTATCAGGATTGTTTTGATTTAGGTCATAAACGTAAAAAAACCTTGTTTTGAATTAGGATATTAACCTGTTATCTATAGTACTCAGCAATCCTGGGGATAATAGAGAAAACATACCTATCTATGTGAAAAAACTTTCGTTTTAAAGACCTAAAAATACAATATAACATTCTAAGACCAGTGCTATTATGATTGTTGATTTTTAACTCGGAGATTGCGTAAGCAATCGAAGAGTTATTGGAGGTGGACGATGTGTGTCACTCACTTTCCTGTAAACTCGGTTGCCTTAGCAACTGCTATATTTTGACTTGTTAATTAGTTGAAAGTTATCTTCACGGTCTACCTGTTTCTTTTTCTTTTTNATGGAGATGTAATATTAGCAAAGTCATACAATAAACAAACACCAGGAGCTTGAAAACCCTATATTCAATAAATGTGCACATGAGGATATCCCCCATAGAACATGGCTTGACAAGGGTAAGTTAGGAAAGAAACATGATCACTTGATTGTTTTTTGTTTCTGTTTGTTTTTGATGTTTTGTCTGTTGCACGCTCATTCTGTTATCTAACTACATTATCTTTAGCTATTTCTTTTTAATTGTTCTTGTGTGTTCTTATGTGTTATGGTATGTGTCATTCAAGTGCATTGTTTGAAACAGTTTCCTACTCCTAAAAAGATAAAATACAATCAAATGTTATAGAGAAAGAAAAAAAATATGCTGATTATTTCGGAGTTACAATGTGTTGATCAAACTGTCTTTTTCCCATGTTGATTAATCTACATTTGTTTCAGATTCTGTAGCATATGATAAACTGAAAAAAGCCCTGACAAAGAACAGCTTGCAAAAGGGAATTAAGCAGGCCTCTCCACTTTCACAGACCAGCTGCCTCGAAGGCTTCCATTCGTGCCTTAATCATTTTTCCCCCAAAATGATTATTGAAGTGTGACACAGCAAGAATATGCCTGAAAAAAAAAATGTGAGTTAAAAGAAGACCTGTTTCTTTCAGGAATAAGTATGTATACACCTAACTTCCAGGCAAGCAATAAACAACCTTCAAACAGCAAATGCAGACATGTGTTGGCAAAAATCATAATGATGTCTTTCAATAACATACTAACCAACATTTACCTACCTACAATACATGCCAGTGTAGGAGAAGTGAATAACCTTGAAAGGGAAGTAAGTAAAAGACAAAGAGATGGCCATGAAAGGGTGAAAGTGGTATATCCTAAGTACAAGAATGGACAGGCTACAGTCAGAAATGTTCGCATACAGCAAAATTTTGGTAGGTATTGAATTGTTTTATGAGAAGCTTGTAGCAATTAAGCTATTATTTACATGGTGCATAATTATATACATGCATTTGATTTAATTATTTCTTGTCCAACCCCATTCAGCCTTGGATGAAGCCATTTTTTGCTAGGAAATGGACATGCTGTATTGTCCCTGTGCAAAATGTAAAAGTGTTATTTGTTGAGTTGAAGTACATCTGTGGATTTTGTTCTGAGACAATAACATTGGATTAGATTGTAAAGTATACTAATTGACATGTTGTAATCTTGTTACAGGCTATGTTGATGAAATTTATGACACCTTCCTTGGACTCTCAAAAAACAAACTGAAAGAAGCATCTGCAGAGCTAAAGGAGATGATACCTGACCCAATGTGTTCTGTTTTACAAAAAGAAAACAGAGAAGCTGCCATTGCAAAGAAACAGCAACGAGAAACCATGGTCATAACTGATGTGCCAACAACAACCCCAGGTATGTTTTGGGTTCAATAATTAGCACTAAGAATCCAGGCAATACTATTATTCTATATCATTTCTTGAATAGTGTTTATACATTTGTTATTGCAGTTGCCCAAGTTCAAGCAGCTGCAGCTGCAGCCAGGCAAGCAGCCACAGCACAACAAGCAGCTCCAAAAGAAAGGTGCTGTAGGGAGTGCAAACAGCCCATGAAAAATCACAAAAACGTAATATAACAGCAAATAAGCGCACCTCTCTTCTGATCCTGTTTGTTTGTACGTGTCTGTTTTTTTCCCAGTATTTGTGAGCTGCTAGTCGAAGGCTCCACTTCTCTAGGCATACTGGTTTAAAACCAGGATGATCTGTCACACAGACCAGCTTCGCAGTCTCCCCAACATCTTGAAGGACTAACTCATCAGTTAGTGACTCGATGCAACCATCTAATTCTCGACAACAGTAACATTCACTGGCGTTTCGTGCAGTACTTGGGTCACAATGCCCACATTTACACCTACAATCAAAACACAAGTTTTAATCTTTGGTATACAATTAAAAGGTTTTTTATTCTCTATCACAAGAGTTTCATATGAATAGAATCCGCTGAATCGAACGAAATGCATCCATATGAGTGCCATATGACGGCTTTAGTTTTCACTTCGTTGACTGTCCTCAAACYCGGCCAATAACACTCGAATTTCAGCACAATTCTACTAATTTGACCGTTGAAACTATATATTACAGGCACAGCAACAAAAGGAMAGCAATGTTCYATTCGACCGTWAACAATTTCACAACATTGGTTTCGTTCTTTTGATTYGAGCTACAATGAATGAGTTTCCAGCAATTCGATCCCTTCACCGACCGCAATGCATCCATGGATTGCKAGGGGGCAAACAAAGAGAGACTTACAAGAGTTTGTATGGCGGAAAATTGTGTTTTCATGTTTATCGTTCGATTTTTCAGTGGATATGGAACCTTCTTGCGCCGTTTTTACGGGATATTATTAGGAGGGAGTTGTACAATGTGGATACGTAAGTTTTTGACGYTATATATAATATTTTAGGCGATAAACTCGATTTTCTTTTGCAATTCGCATTGTGAAATGTACACAGTAACACTTCGTTCATGGACTAAAAATAGTGAGATTTTTTGTTAAGATAAATGCACGATTGCTCAATAAAATCATTCTATACATATTCTACAGTGTGTGAAACATTTTTATCGAAAATTCGAGGGCTCAGGGTGAGTTTTTCGACCTCTAGAATGTTAACTTCAGAAAGAGCTGAAATATTCGTTCGCGGTGATGGAAATTGTTTCTATCGATCTATAGCTTTGTGGTTAGACAAAAAAAGTGACCAYAGACASGKAYAATTGAGGAGATTATGTGCTTATTTGATTGAGGCAAATCCACAAGTTTTTGAGCCGTTTCTATTTACTGCARGATCAGTAGAACAACATCAAAAATTTCAAAGAAGAATGSCACATTGGCAGAGACGATCGACATTTTCAGTMGTGCAACTTTACTAAACCGGGATATTTGTACTTTCTCAGTTCAAAGCCAAAAGMGGTACTTTTTTAGACCCAGAAAGGGAATAACATCTCCAGTTGAGTTAACTGTCACAAATAAGAAGGATTGTCAGTGCCCCATTACATTAATGTACTATGATTCTAAGCATTTTAATCTTCTTTTACCAAAGAAAGGCTGTTGCAATACCTTACCTCCAAAAAACGATTTAGAGTCGTCTGTAGTTGTTACTTT